TTTAAGCCCACAGCCAAATAATCTCTCTCTTTTACACTTCCTATCTATCCCTACATCCTTTCTTCTTCCTTATTCAGTCATTTTAAATCCATCTCTGTGGTTTTCATCTGGAGACTTTGATTTTTGCTTTAAGGGCGGGGGACAATAAATTGATATGGTTATGCAGTTTTTAAGTGCAGAGTCAAGTCCTGATCCCAGGAGATCTGTAGAAGGGAAGATAGTAACATCTTTAGCATTATACAGACAAAAGATCTGCTGTAATTAGTTTTCCATATATCTTCCGTATGGCTCTTGGTGACCAGTGGAGATAACAAGCTAGCCTGGAGACAGAGTCTAAACCCTCCAAAAACACCTCAAATCTCCTTCTGGGCTGGAACAGGAAATACGTTTTTAGAGTAAATAGTAAACATGTGGAACCTTTTAGCCTCAAGAAGTTAATCAGGATGGAAACATAAATAGCTTCAAGTAGCTTTAAATATTATTCATGGACAAAAAGAATACATAACAATTTTGGGAAAAAATTCAGAAGTTTGACAATCCAAGCATTGATGAGAATGTAGAGCAAAGGAAATGCTATATACTGCTGATAGGAGTACAGTTTTGTTCAACAATTTTGGAAAAGAAGTTGGTATAATGTTGTAAAGCTACTAGTCACATACGTTATGACCAGTTCCACTCCTAGAGAAGCCTTCCTGGATGTGCTTCAGAGGATATATACAAAAATGTTCAGAGAAAATTGTTCATAATAGCAAAACACTGGAAACAACCCAAATATCCACCAACAGGAAAAGACATAAATACATTGCAGTATATTCACTAAACGGAAATAGCACAGAATATGAATGAAGTTCTCTGCATGCTGAGATATGAATGAATCTTGGAAACATGTTGATGAACAAAGCAATAACAAAAGAATTACATATAGTATGATGTTTTTATATATCTCAAAAATACAAAAACTAAAATAAAAGGTCTTTTAGGAATCCATACATATGTGATGGAACTAATCTAAAAAAGGAATAATTTTTTAAGAAAAAAATTTTCATTTCTAATTTCAGGGTAGTAAATGTGAAAAAACAGAACAATAAAAGAAGAAAAATTTTAGGTCATCTATAGTCTCACTGTGTAGATATAAACACTGTTAACATTTTGTTGTATTTTCCTCCAGTTTTTTTAATATGTAAAACTGGAATCAATAGACCATTAAAAAATGTTTTTTCCTATTTAAATTTGGAATCTTGTTTCTCTGAAGACAGCGATGATACTATGTGTATATGGTGCATTCATAATCTAATGTTCAGCTTTAAGTTGTATTATATAAATTGTCTATATAAACCATAACTTAAACTTTAGCATTACCCTCACTGGAAAATTTAAGAATTTAGAGGACAATCATTTGTCAAGGTTGACAAATCTCTTCCACTGTAATTTTTGGCTTCTAACTCAATTATGAAAATTTGTATGACAAGGTGGAAGGAATTTTTCTTTTGATGACCTGCTTTCTTAAACTCTGATCTCAACAAAAGAATGGGTTTTTCTGAAAAAAAATTTAAAGAGTTTTATATTATTTCTGAATTTTTGAAAGCGTGGGGAAATTTCTCTTAATAATTCATAATTTTAAAGACAATTTCCACATTCCTGACCATATATACAAAAGGTAAATAGCATAACGTCTAAATTTCCTCTCCAATGTATATTTTTAAAAGCTTATTCTTTTAAAACTACCTCAACATACTGTCTACTCAAGCGTTGAGACGATATACAGCATCAGAGTTAGAAGATATTTTAAAGCATCTTAACGGTATAAGGTATAAGAAGCTCTAAACATTTACAGTTGATTTTAATGATTAAGTTGCAAACTCTTGTGAGAGCTGAGATACTTTTTGTGTCTCTCCCATGCTGGATTCCTACAATGTGGTTTTGGTTCAGGAGGTCAGCAGTGTGCCTGCACATTTCTGCAGGTGATTCTGAGGCCCAGCCAGGCATGAGAACTATCCTAAGCTTAAGGATATTAACCACCAGGTTCATAAGTAAAGAACAAACAAAAACAAAAAAATCCTTTCTTTGAAAACCAGCCTTGTTGTTAACCCGGGGAAGCAGATCGATATGCCACTCCCATTTGTCCGTTTCTGAGAAACACTGACAGCTTGCACGATCCCCCCTCAAACCCCATCCAGAGAAGTTCAGTAAGTGACAAGTGAGGCAACTCTATCCACTTCCAAAGACCCACCGCTTCTCTCGGGGAAATGGTGGTATATTATTTTTCTCACTTAAGAAAACACAGAATACTTCAAGAGCCCACTGCTTCCAGAAAGTCCACCGTGAGCATAAAGGAGATTCAGGCTAAAGTAAATTGGGAGACAACACTACAGCATGATCCATCTGCTTCCTTTGCTTTTGGTCAGCTCACCATGGGATTGTTTATGAGGAGTATCTGCCACTGATAATCTTCTTCTCTCGGTTTAGAATTAGCGGCATTACAAAGAGGTCAGAATGGCTGGGTTGGGGAGGAGAAGATGGTAAATGTGACCCTAACGAGAGTTCTGCAGGTTCCACTTTGTAGCACTCTCCATGAGCTGGTTCACATAGGTAGATACTTTTAAAATAAATGACTACAGGATTAGGGGACAAAGGTAAAGCTGTCTTATTGGCACACATTGTCTACCCAGGCATTGGAATTTAGAAAAAAAGCCAGCAGTTTTCATCTAATCTCTTGAAAAGGTTTATGCATTGTCTTCCCCCAATCACAAAAGAAAACACAACCACAGGACAAATTACTCTTTGAATGTTTCATATGAATAACTACAGCAACAATAGAACTTGTGCTCAGATTAAAGTTTAAGAAGCTTTAAAATATTTCTAGTTCTTTTCATCTGACATTGTTTAGACTACCTTCAGAGATACTTTTCAACAGTTTCCTTACTGGAAAGAGTTGAGAAGTTTTATAAGGCCAAGGTTACTAGGGTGATTTGATTTATAAGTTTCCTTTGAAAGAAAGAGAGGGAGGGAAGAAATGGAGAAGCAGCAGCAAACACATGTCAACCAAAGAGGGCTGAAATAACAGAGAGTGAGTTTTGTGGAGAAATGACAGGCAGATATCTCTATCGTGGTTAGATCTTCCATCCTCATTTCTAGAAGTCAAGTTTGTTTGTTTAGTGTACCTTAGAGAAGTAGGTACTTTCAAATTGTCCTTCCACAAGTCTCCTTAGCAGCCAACCAAGTCCAATGGCCCTCAGCCAACTAACCCAAGGAGTACTTTAAAGTCAAGTGGACCTATCCATGAAACCTCGTACAAAGTCCTGTTAACGGAGAGCCGCAAAAATGTAAGAGAAGATGCACCTGATTAAATGTAAGAACATGAGTCACCCATGGATTATATAATAGCAATTAAAAAACCAAAAGAGGGAAGGAAGTACATGTAGAACAGTCCTTGAATCTGAGTCCAGTTTAGAAATCTGTACCTTTGATGAACACTTCTGAAGGACTGGGGAGTCTACAAAGCAGCAGCAAAAATTTTCCTGGAAGAGCCAGCATAACTGTGTAACTGGAATTAGATGGAACCTTTCTAGGGCAAGGAATTAAATCAGAGGCAGCAGTTTCCCCTCTCCTGTGTTTTTTCAGGCAAAATGCTCAGTGGTGGGTGGTTCCAGTGGGCAGCTTTGGCTGGAATTGGTGTCCTACGAGGGCAGTCAAAGCCCATTCAAAACAGCAACAAGTCCTGCCTGCATTTACACGGTTGCCCTCCTGATTTTTTTCTGCCAAACTAAAGACAGAATGGCCCGCTGAGAAGGGTCTAGAAGAGCACAGGACTGAAACTGAAGCCAAAGCTTTCCATCCTAGGTTGCTGGTCACCAAGGTTCTTTCCAGCTCTGAAGTTCTGTGTCAGAGAAAGGGGGAGATGGTGCCAACAGGAGAAGAGGCATTTACCACCTGGCTTGACCCCGTCCTTCCTCAGCACTGTGACAGGAACCACTGTGACAGATTAAGTGGGGGAGCACAGAACTCCCTAAAATCATGAAGATTTCACTATGACCTGATAACTGGCTTAAGCCCAGAATCCCTCACAGTAGAATGGCTTCTTGTCTCACCTGAGAAGCCTCTTCAGGTGACCGAGAGGAGAGGGAAAGACATTTATTCAGGGAGCCCAGGATGCAGGTCCTGGTTGAGAAGGTTGCCACAGCATCGGGGACATTATGCAGGCAGATCAGTGGAGTATGGCTCATCCCCAGGTACAGACCACAGCAAAACCTACTCAGGATTGTGCTGGACGATTGTGCAATTGTTTGTTAAAACAACAAACCAACGGGATTCCCACACTTGTGCTTGTCTTTTACTGTCAGCAATGGCAAATGCTGACCTGTCTGTCTCAAGTGCTCAGCCAGGAACTTGAAGATAGACTCTAACTTCCATAGTTAGAAGTTAGAGTCTAACTTCCTATACCTCAATACATCTAAGATTGGGGGGAGGGGAGGGGTGCACATCTGCCGTTTTTTGGTCCCATTTCAGAGGCTACTTAGGTATAAGAGATGTAGCAGGAAGTCATGTTGCCCCCGATCTGCTAGAGTAACGTTTGGCTCTGAAGTAAGGAAATACAAGAGACCCTGAAGCTGGTAACCGACCAATTCTCTTGACTTTACAGTTAATTTTAACACAATTAGAGGGGATGTCTGATTTCAAAGACAGCTGCTGTAGATCCTCCTCAGTTGGGTTTTGGCTCTATCTTGGAAGGCCTCATCTAGGGAGGAACATAGCGCAGTGGACTCTGGTGGGCCCTGTGGAACAATGTCCAGGCCACGCTGGGAAGTGAACAGCCGGGTTGACTGGAGGCCTCTGACTCATGGCTTTAGTTAGAAAAATCGGGGGTGAAGGGAAGGAGAAGGAGGTCGCAGATCGTAGAGTGACTCACACAAGCCCTCAGGTGGAACTTTCTCCTTACGCTGTTCCCGGCCTTAGGAACTGCAGGGGTAAATCACTGCGGACCTACCTTCACCTCTGTAAAAGGAAGAGATTAAAAGCGCCCCCCGAGTTCCCCAACTTTGAGAAGTAACTTCTGTCCTGTGGGTCATCTCCCTGAAGGAGGTGTAGGGGTGTGCAGCCCTCCCTGGCGAGGGCTGCAAAGTGCTAAACTACTTTAGAGGCGGCAGGGCGCGCACGGGTGAGGCGGCCCCGCCGCGGACTCGGGGCAGCCCAGCCACGCCATCTGTCAGGACTGTGCCCAGGGCAGCTCCTTCTCCCAGGAGGAAGCTTTGAAGACGGCTTTTCAAAATCACCGCCGCGCTTCCTCCACTCCTTCCTTAAAGGCTCACGGCCGGGAGGGCGCGGCGTCAGCTTCTTCCCACCACCCCAGACCACTGACCCCGGGGAAACTTGTAAAAATTCGGGGCAGGAGCGCAGCCCAAGGACGCGCAGCTCAGCGGCGGGACCCCTAGGTGCGCGCCCCTGGAAGGAGCCCGGGCAGGCTCCCGCAGCAGCCTGCAGCGCCGGGGACCCGTGCGCCGTGCGACCCTGGGCGGGGACAGCCCCGGGGGCTGAAGGTGCCCGGCAGCGCTCCGGATCGCCGTTCCTCCCTGCGTCCCGCCCGCCCGGGGCCTCGCTCACCCCGCCGCTTCTCCCTCTCCCGCAGCCGTGTCGGGACCATGTCTGCGGAGACCGCGAGCGGCCCCACTGAGGACCAGGTGGAGATCCTGGAGTACAACTTCAACAAGGTCAACAAGCACCCGGACCCCACCACGCTGTGTCTGATCGCGGCCGAGGCCGGCCTTTCCGAGGAGGAGACCCAGGTAAGCCCCCGCGCGCGCCCGACTCCTGCCCGCGGGGACCCGCCGCGCCCACCCTCGCCTGGGAGATCTCGAGAAGGTTGGGGGTCGCCCTTGCCCTCGGCTCCCGCTTGGCCTCCTTCCCCCGGCTCTTTCGTCGCTTCTGCCCGTACCCCGGGAGCCCAGACCTGTATCGCTCCCACAGCAGCATCCCAGCTCCCCGGCTCCACGGGCGCCAGGTCTGTCCCTCCACCCCAGCCCGGTGGCTCCCGCGGGAGCTGCTTAGAAGCCCCACGCCCACCCTCCCTTCTCCTTGCTTTTCCACTCTCCCCTACAGCACGGGCTAAACGCTCTCTCCTCCCTCTGGCCTGGGAGCAGCGTCCCTCGGCCCACTTTTGTCTCGCTTTCCCGGGTTTATTTTCTCCTCTGGGCTGGAAGCGAAACCTTTAGGAGAGGTGCAGTGTGCGCCCTCTGAGCCCAGCGCCCTCAAATCTATTCTCAGAGGGAGTGTCAGAGCTGGAAGGGATCTTAGTGATCAGCTATAAATTCAGTGCTCAGGTTTGGTAAACGAGGACACTGAGGTTTAGAGGGAGAGACTTGCCGTGATGGCACAGGTCGTTAAGCATGCTCTTTGCATCACATCGCGCTGCAGCTTCCGGTTAGCTGCAGAGCTAAAATTGCACGGAGCCAGGGAGATTTGGTTCCGGTTTTTAAAAATTCCACGGCTCTAAGGTTTAGGGTTCTTTTCTGGAGTTTTCTGAGAAGGTAGACATCTGACATTACAACTGAAGGAACAGGAAAAAGATGTCACCATAAGTGCATTGATTTATTTATCTATTTTAAAATCTCCTCTATTATCCTGAAAATTGTTTAGGGTAGAGAATGCAACACTGCCCATGATTTTTAACCGCTAGGTACAGTAGGTGCAGTATTGGCTCCTTCAACTGACTTTTTGTTTTTTTTTAAACCCCTGTCTAAACTCTTCTATTTCCCCTTTGGTCATGGAAAGACAATTAGTTCTGCATGATGATACCACTTGGAACTCCTCTAGCACCTCTCCCATGGGAGCCCAAAGCAATTCACACCTCTAGTCGCAGGTCTAAAGCAGAGACTTTCTTATTCTTCCCAACTTATAGACCAGAGCATTCAGACATTTTGTTCTCTCCTCACCATGAATCATACTTAGCTGAGGCTTAAAAGCTTGTCATGGGTGCTCCAGTGAATCCTAGAACAAAGACCCCAAGATCCATTTTGGATCCCAAGCCCAAAATGATTTTTTACTAATTAAGCCTTTGGAGAACTCGCCCATAGAAAATCCTCCCTCTCCTAGGTCAAACAGAAAGTCCAGCATATCAGTCTTTTGCAAAGGGAACAGATATCTGGCTAGCCAGAACCAGAACTTAATGGAAGGTGATGGACTGTAACCCAAGCCGAACAGCTCATGTTTCTCAGAACCCCAGCTCTCCCCAGGAGGCAGCCTGCTGAACTGTTGTCATTTACATCCCACACTATATTTAGAAAAGAGGAGTGATCACAGAGACAGTAACTCAGCTTTAAGGCTGTGAGTTTACCATGGGCCCCGTATTAGCCTGATTCTCCCTTGGCAAGTGACTGTCATTCCCTAAAGCAGAATGGTTATGCTGGCCTTTGTAACAGATGACACGTGCCGCCTAGTGCTCTCCGAGTACTAAATCATTTATTTGCCACAACAATGCTATGAGATGGGCACTCTTGGCTCCACTGTACAGAAAGTTTAAATAACTTGAAGACCACCACTGGGGAGTAGCAGCGCTGGGATCTGAACCCTGGCAGTCTGGCCCCCTGGCCCAGATGCTTAACTACCATGCTGTTTTGTCTCCACAGAAAAGGAATGGAAACAATTGGGTGGGGTGGGAGGGAAGCACTGAAAATTCAATTTATGTTCTATTTCTTCCTGAAAAAAAATCCATGCAGTAAATGACAGTCATCTCAGGCTATATTCAATCTTTCCTCAAGATTCACCTTATATGAGAGAACTGAACTGAGATCAGGTTGGGGGCAGGAAGAAAGAGAGGGCACCCTTCTATAACTGAGGTCAGCCAGTTCAGACCCCTACAGAGCAGGTTCCTCTGCCCCTTTCAGGCAGCCCTTCTCCCATCCCCCCCCACACACACACACTTCTCCCATCCTCAAATGAGTAAATGGTAGACTCAGCCCTGAAGTAAGCATTCGGGGGAATGAGTCAGCCTCATAGCAGGGCTCCTTGCTTCCTTTTCCTGCCATGAGGCTAACACCTTCTTCCTCCCTGAGATTGCCACGGCTCAGCTTTCCCCTCTGTCTTCCGGCATCAACCACAGGGAAGCATCTGAGACCCAAGAGCTCAGAGAGAGGAAAAATTTAGCAGTTTCAGGGAAAGAGGCTTCCTAGGTAACCCTCCGTCATCCCTTACCAGATTGGATCTCATCTTCCAACTTCCCATCGTTCCCTCCCATCCCCGTAACCCCTTCCCAACCCTCTCACCCCCATGTGACTGGTGGGTGAGAATGGTTTCCCTGTGGGGACCCTTTAAATAACTGATGGAGGCCAGGTTTGTTGGGCCTAAACATAAGCAGTGTCTGGTATCAGCACTTGCCCTGTTTCTTCTATTTGTTAGCATTGCCCTTTTCCATGAGAAAAGGTCATCAAAGCCAAAATAATATTTCTTTCATATGCTTGGTCCCTTATGCCTAATACCACCCACTTCCAGAATGGGATTCATATTCATTTTCCTAGAACAAGTAACACTAGGAGAAGAAAAATAAGCATGTGATGGTCCTATGAGATAGTTAACTCAAGCTAATTCACACTGCTGATACGTTGACAAAGGCAATGCTGAAATATTCTCTGACTGGGGCCTTTGACCTCTTTATAACTGTCCCACTGTAGGACAATGTTCTTTACTTGGGGTGGTGGTGGTGGGGGAGGGACACCTATAGGAACCCAGAATGAAGAGAAGGATGCTCTAATGGAAATAACTTTTTAAGGTGCATTTGCTGGGGTCCTAGAATGGGTTTTTTCTCATGACAGTAATTAGATATGTCCTATATTTAAATTAGAGAAACCTTACAAAATCTCGACCCCTGTGTCTTTCATTATTTTGAAGTCAGTGTGAGAAGGGGCTGGGAAAGCTCTTATCAGCCCCTTGGGAGGTTAGAATGATCTTCCATTTTCTATTATCACTGATTCAATCCCAGTGTAGTTGGCGTTGGTTCTTAGATTGGTTTCCAGGATTTTTATCCCCTCTTGATGTCCTGGGACTCTTCCTAGAACCCTGGTTTTAGTTGTTAGATGTCTTATCAATGGAATAAAGACCTCTAAAGGTCTCCTCCTAAAAAGAATGAAATGTTAGTTACTAGAGAAAAGGACAGGAACAATATTATTCTGCCTCACCCCTTCCCCATCCCAGTGTCTAATTATCATCTGTTCTCTCAGAGTAAATAAACCTCCGTCAATGGGCAAGGCTAATGAGGGCATCCATTCATAAGCAAGCAAGGGATGAATGTCTTTCCCAGGGGATGACTGAAACAAAGAAGAGAAGGAGAGAGCCAGGTGGAAAATTAGGATTGATGTGAGTGAGATGTGGTAAGATTCAGCTCTGGAGGTGAAAAAGGCAAGCAAGGTGTTTAATGACTTTTGTTGGAGAGCAACTGGTTTGCTAAATTATTATATACATGTGTGATTTAAAAAATATATATCTGTGGAAAACAGTTGAGCTTTTCTTGAACCTCCTCCCATCCCCCAATGCTAGGGTGCAATTTATTAATCATTTGGATGCCAACTCACCGATTCACAGATTTGGTCATTGCTGAAGTTACGTTCAGTAACTGTAAGTTAATATTTTGCTTCATTCCTAGTATAAAGGTGTGGGTGGCTCTTCTGAATGAAGCCAGCTCAATCATTCTGTCTTAAAGGAATCCTGATAGAAAATGAGCCTTTCCCCCTCCAAGCTTTAATTAGTCAGTCTGTAAAACTCTGCCATTTATTCAGCTCTAGAAACTGCAAATTCTGTTTAATCAGACCTCGTCGCCTTGAAACCCCTGCAGAGCTACCTCATTAATGAAACTGGAACTATGCTGCTCTCACACCAGATTCCAGAGTTAACTAAATACACACATGGATCACAGAAGCAAATAGGCCCACCTTTAGCAGTAGAACGTTGGTTAAAGCCACCAAAGATACATGAGCTCTCTATTCTCCTTAAGGTTGGAGATCCCCAGGAGTGAACTATGGCACCCAGAGAGCAACCCCCAAAGAGAAGGCTTCCCTACGAGTAGTCTGCTGCCCTTGGCTTTAGATTACTTTTCTCTGCTGCCACACCACAGTACAAAGGTATATAAGACAACTGATCTTGACAGGTGTTAGGCACTTCAGTGTGTAAACTGTTGAACAGTTAGGGAGAGTTGTAGGCGTGGTCCCTTGCTGTTCAGCCAGGTGAGCATTGGTGCAGAGCCCTAGGCGGTGCTGTGGGCTCGCTCCCTTCTAGCTCTACAGACCTTGAGCCTTAGAAGCACTCCTTCCCCTGTGGTTCTCGCCCTTTCTTCTCATCTTGGGCTTATGCTGAAATGCCTTTTGATTCCCTAGATCTCCGCAGAGATGAGGTCTTCCCACGCATGGCCCTAGAGCCCACCCTGTTTGTTCAGAGGTTGAATCTGCATCTGGCTGTGCCAAGTCAGAGCCCTCTAGGTGTTTCTCACCATACCATCTCCATCAGCACATTCCAGGTCTGGCACCCATCCCACAACTGTGTTCTTTTTGCTTCCTTTCTGTCCCCTCATCTACTGACCCCTAGAACAGGTAAATTTTAGAAACACTACAAGGGACAGTAGATAGCCCCTAAGTTTACTTCTTCATTTACAGTTGAGCTGACTGGCGCTCTAACTTCCTCAAGTTCTGAGCCAGTTGGTTACAACAAGCTTCCTGTTGGCAGGGCCCAGGACTGCAGAGCCCCCAGTGGTCACCTACCCAAGCAGTATGACATGAAAACGTCTTCATTCTCAAAGTGTGCCATGATGTGTGAAAGGTTGGGAAGCACAGGAGAATAAAGCCTGGAGGTCCTGCCTTCCCACAGAGCCTCTACTCATCCTCTCCCATGTGGATTAATGCTTGCTGCTTCTATTTCTTCACTATTGCCTCTTCAATGTTGTTGTTCAAAAATCCAGATTCCTCCTGGCCAACCTGGTTCATACCCCAGACTATTCCCCAGCATGGGTCTCCTCATCTCCACTTTGCAGAATCCCCCGCCCTTCAGGGGTATAATAAAGGCAGATCTATATGCCTTTATATGCATTTTAAAATGCGTAAAATATGTTTTAGCCCTCACATGGTACCTTGTCTAGAAGTATCCCATCTGGGGCTTTTCCTAAATCCATGGTCACTTTTGCGAGGTGTGAATATTTGGGTCACACAGAGCTAGAAGATTTTGAGTAAACTGGGAATCCCACTTGCTCTTTTCTCACTGTTCAGTGGCCCTGGAGCAGGAACGATTGGTCTAGACTACTCCATGGATCCTCAGAAAGGAGTGCCCCAAGGTTGTTCAGCGCTTAGTTTTTCATTCATTTTATTCAACAAACTCTTACTAAGTGCTACTGATGACCAAGGCCCTTGAGATCATCACACATTGATGAGGTATAGCAGCCATACAGATTTATCTGGGGCATCAAGGAGATGCTTCAATTTCTTTTATTCATTCAACAAACATTTATTAATCTCTGTTAAGCCCTTATGCTAGGGGCTAGTGACGATAAGATGGATGCAGACTCTGCTTTCATGGATCTCATATTCTAGAAGGAAATGTAGATTAAAAACAAGTGAATACACAAATAAATTAATTACAGATATTAAAAGTTCTGTGAAGGTAACAAAGTATGAACACAGAGAATAGGAGATGGATGGAGAATCTACTTGATAAAATGGTTAGGGAAGGCCTTACTGAGAAGGTTCTATTTAAGCTGAGCCCTGAGAATTATTTATCATCAGATAAATAATGAAGGTCAGATATTCTAAGCATAGAAAACAGTATGTACAAAGGTCCTGAGGCAGAAATATAAGTATCACAATGAGATGAACCATCCCCAGGGACTCAGACTGCTTTCCTCTTTTCCAGCTGGGCCACAGAAGCTACTTTTAGCAAGGGAATGGACATTTCAGTTTTTCAGTATGTGACAGGTAATTTTGCACATTTCCCTCCTCCAGAAATGGTTCAAGCAGCGCCTGGCCCAGTGGCGGCTGTCAGAAGGCCTACCCTCAGAGTGCAGATCCGTCACAGACTGAGGAGATGGTGGTCATTGGCGGCTTCCCTCCATGAAGACCATCTGCTGTTTCTCTCCTCAACTTAATCAAGCTCTTTTGGTTTTTCAGTGTAGTGTCATATGCTCCTCTGTTAGCTGTCCTCCTATTTAACACAACGTTGTATTTTTTTTTTAATGTATATAACTAGAAAAGAAAATAACAATAGGAAGCTATGGGCAGCTTCTGTGTAAAGCAGTGGCTTGGCTGGAAGTGGTGTGGCTTGCATTTCCTTTGGGTCATGATGACAGATGGTGTGAAAACCATCTAAGTTTTCTTTTTGACCATCACCTCCCAGTAACAATTTACTTTCACCATCCATTTCAGAGCAGACAAGGCCTCTGTTGAGAAGGTAACATGACCAAGAGGGAGAAACATTTCCTTCTAATTCTACTTCCCTAAGTCATTTTCCTTGTGTTTCATTTAATACACTGAGATTGAGTGAGAATACAGAGTGAATTTGAGTTATTCAGATTCCATAAAGCAGTTCCTTGGATTATAGCTGAATTAACTTGGAAAGCACTCAGGCTGGAAGACAGAAACTTCCACTGGCAGAAAATCAAGTAACTAAGGAAAAAAATCCATAGAAGTCTTGAATTTACCTTATTTAAATGCATTTGTTAAATTCATTTTGCTAAACAAAATGAACGGTGTTTTGTCTCTAAAATGATTTTCTAAATAAAACCTTAACATTTTGTTGAAAATGCATTGAGTCCTCTGCAGATTTTTAACTGAATAATAAGCATATCAAAGAAAGACAGAATAGCTCAACATAGAAGCCGCCTGACAAAAAAGCTGTCATTTTCTAAATCCTTGCTACTCAGAGTCGTCCAGCACTGGCGTCATCAGCATTAGCTGCAAGCTTGCGAGAAGTGCAGAATCTCAGACTCCAATCCAGACCTACTGAATCAGAATCTGCATTTTCAACAAGCTCTCCAGGTGGTGTCTATGCACATGAAAGCCTGATCAGCACTGCTCTAAAGGACTCTACAGTGGATTTGCATCCACTTTCTGTCAGAGCACATTAAACATCTTAGCAGTCCATTAGTTAAGATTGCGTTTGATTGCATGAAGCAGTAACTTGATTACAATGGATTAACCAAATAGGCTTTTTGTATGTTTGTTTAATTGATTAGTTATTTTTACATAAGAAATCAGCAGGTAGGTTGCTCCCTAAGATTGCCAAGAACTTGCAGACATTTTATCTTCCTACTTTCCTATCTTTAGCATGTGGCTCTTGTGTTTATGGAGACAAGATGGATGCATTTCAAGTAAAAAAGGAAAAAACAAAGGGAAATGTCAGCTAAGACTTTTCCCTGTAAAAAAGGTTCCTGGAGGCCCCCATCTAGGGACTTCTCCCTACATGTCACTGGCCAGAACTGGGTCACATGGCTACTCCCAACTGCAAGGGAGTTGGGAAGGTGAGCCTTTTTAATTGGACATAGTACTGCCTTGAGAAAAATTAGGGTTCTGTTGGTAAGAAAGAAGGGGAGGATGGATATTGGAAAAGCCACTAGCAGTGTCTGCCAGCCCAGCCCAGAATGATGCTGGTATGCACTTCTGAACTCTTACCTACAACGCAGGCACAGTCTTTTCAGTTCTTTAAAATAAAGAGCCCAGAATAAGAAATACTAGCAGTTATGCAGAATACAAATGTTTACAAGATTCTTCTCTAAACAATACACAGTGAACCACGGTCTGAGCAGAACAGCCTCATCTGGCTTGCTCCTCTGCAACCTAACTGATGGTGGTCTGAGAATCTGTCAGCACAGGGCTGGATACTGACAACACTTTCTGGAAAGAAAGAAGGGAGGAGGTGGGGACAATACAGGAATGTGAGCACATCATACATACCCGCATAGAGAGTATTCTTTACCTTTCAAAGCACTTTCATAGACACAGACTAACAGAGAGAGAGAAAAAAAAGTGCTGTTAATATGACTGTAGGCAAAGCAGATCCAGACAGAGCATGGAGATTTGCCCATGTCAGGCAATGAGAGGGATGCTAAACCAGGTCTAAGCCCCAGCTCAGAAGTCTTTCTCCAGCACACCAGAGACATGATTCTAGAATAAGCCATCTGAGACAAGAAGAGTTAACCAGCTGGGCAGAGAGTGTGCCTTTAGCTGGGAGCTGAGAAGCATGTTTAGGACAGAAGGATCACTTCCTGTGTTTATCAGGCCCAAGAGTCAACAGTCCTTAAATAGCAGATGCTGGAAGGGAATAAGGATCAGGTATCCTTTAACTAATTAATTATTCAATTAATATATAGGTCTAACTAGAGCCAAGTTTTTTATTTGTTCATTTTTGCATTTGAAGGACTCCTTGATGATACCACAGTCCTTAACCACCACACAACTGCAACCAACCACTTTGCCCAGTTTTCCTCTCTGTCAGTTTTTCAGAGGCCTACCCATTGCCCTAGTTTCTCGGTGTCATCAACCTTAATTAGGTTGATCTAGTGTTCAGCAGGTGGAGTGAAATCTTAAATGTACCTGAGTCTCCACCTCTGCACTGCTGGGCAGCCTCAGGGAAAGAGTCAGTGCCCTTTTAAATGTAAATTTGTTACCAATATTAACCTCCTTGAGTTTACTTTTTCAACTGTAATACAAAGATAGCAATACTCTACTAAAAGAAAAAAAGCACTTTGTAAATAGTAATAATAATTACTATTGCTAGTACTCTAGAGCGCTCTAGCTCTAGATCAAAATCTTTTTAGAGCTCCTTCTAACTCTAGATCAGCTCTGTTTAGAGCTTGCTGCGCCATCCAGTTTGGTAGCCACTAGCCACATGTGGCTACTGAACACTTGAAATGCGGCTAATCCAAACTGAGACGTGCTGTAAAGTGCACACCAGATATCAGAGCCCGAGTATGAAAAAAGAAAATGGAAAATATCTCATGCATAACTTTTCTCTTGGTTACACGTTGAAATCATAGTGTTTTGGATATACTGGGTCAGATGAAATAAATGATTGAAATTTGAAAAAATAATAATAATTACTACTGCTACAAAGTACTAATGAGGACAGGGAAAGGTTCATTTTGATGCCTGAGATAAGCGTTAACCAGAACCCAGAGCTCTAACTGACTTTTAATATCAGGAGTCTCTTCTGGACACCCAGGGTCACACGGCAAAGTGGTAATACCCACCCCAGGCTGGGAAAAACTCTGCACGATCCCCTCTTTCTTCGCTGTGTGTCCTACTTCTGTTGCTGACACTGTTGGCTGCTTAGCCTGATAATTATTCCCAACCCCTCTCTCTGTTACCTCCTTTGTCTACCAAGGTTGCTGAGGCTGGAAAACCAAAATACAATACTACACCTCCTTACGTGGAGCTGTGGTCATGTGACACAGTCTGGCCAATGAGGTTTAGGTTTAAGGGGGGAGGGGTGGTGGTGGTGGTGTGGGGAGGGGGGAGGGGGCAGTGATAGAAGGCTTTGGGGAAGAGTTTTTTTGTTTTGTTTTTTTTGGCTGTGTGGGTCTTTGTTGCTGCGTGCAGGCTTTCTCTAGCTGCGGCGAGCGGGGGCTACTCTTCGTTGTGGTTCATGTGCTTCTCATTGCAGAAGCGTGTGCTTCTCTTGTCTCAGAGCACGGACTCTAGGCACGTGGGCTTCAGTAGTTGTGGTGCGTGGGCTCAGTAGTTGTGGCTCGCGGCTCTAGAGCACAGGCTCAGTAGTTGTGGTGCACGGGCTTAGTTACTCTGCGGCATGTGGGATCTTCCCAGACCAGGGCTTGAACCGTGTTCCCGGCACTGGCAGGCGGATTCTTAACCACTGCGCCACCAGGGAAGTCCTGGGGAAGAGTTTTGTGTTTCTTGCTAAAAGGTACAGAAGCAGCAGGCTCTGTCCTTTTCTCTTGTCTTGAATGGCACCAGTTTCATTTGTTAATTGTAGAAACAGATAAGCAAAACCAACCCCAAACAAACATACAATAAAACAAACAAACCCATAAAAATTAACCATGATCTCACCATGCAGAGGTAACCCTAATATTAACCATAATATTCTTGAGGGTAGGCATGTTTTCAGTGCATAAATACACAGGGAGCAGGGAGAAGAGACCATTTTAGGAGATAGCTGCTGTTTGAACCACTGCTCTGAGAGGATGTATAAATGAAAAACTCTTGTTTTTCTCTGCTACAACACTCTACTCAGAATATTTCACTTCTGACACCAGATATGTGGGGGTTTTTCCCCCACATGCAGCAGTCCTGTGACACCAATTGGATGTCTTGCAATTCAATTCGGTCTGACACTGTCTACCTGGAGTTAGCATCAGATCCCACAGGTTAAGGGCTCAGTCCCACAAGACTGCCCCCCACTTCAGATGCCAGTTGCAAGCCCAGGTTGTTACCTGTGCTTCTGATTGATTGGCTGCAAATTGAAGGTTTCCAAGACCCCCTCCTCGGATTGGATTGGTTTGCTAGAGCAGCTCACGGAACTCAGGAAAAGTTTTCTTACCAGATTACCAGTTTATTATAAAGGATATAACTCAGGAACAGCTAGATGGAAGAGATGCAAAGGGCAAGGTATGCAGGGGAAGGATGTGGAGCTCCCAGGCCCTCTCTGGGCACAGCACTCTCCCAGCACCTTCACCTATTCACCAACCCAGAAGCTCTCTGAACCCTGTACTTTAGGGGTTTTTTATGGAGGTTTCATTATAGAGGTGTGATTGATAAAATCATTGGCCATTCACGATTAAACTCAATTCCCAGCCCCTCTCCCCTCCCTGGAGGTCAGAGGGGGAGGGGTGGGGCTGAAAGTTCCAACCCTCTAATCACCTGATTTGTTCCCCCAGTGACCAGTCCCCATCCAGTGGTTATCCAGGGGCTCTCCAAAAATCACCCCCATAACATAAATTCAGGTGTGGTTGAAAGGGGCTTGTTAATGAATAACAAGATGCTCCCTTCACCTTTCTCACTCTGGAGATACTTCAGAAATTGGAACTATTTGAGGGCAAAAGACCAAATCCTGTAACACAAGATGCTCACATGACTCTTATCACTTAGGAAATTACAAGGGTTTTAGGAGCTGTGTGCCAGGAGTAAGATGAAGAGCAAACATATGTATTTCTTATTATGAATCACAATATCCTTAGAAAGATTCTTCCTAAGGGAGAATTTGCTCTTTTGTTTATGAAAGCGTCCTGATGAGCGTTGTTGGCTATAAAACACAGGTCTAGAAGGAGAAAAAAAAAAAATGAAGAATTCAGTGGCTGTGCACAATAAAGTAGCAGGAACTTGGGACTGTGTCCCCTGGATGCTCAGGTAGGAGGCTAGCTGGGGCCCTCAGGCACTGAGAGGAGAGATGGAGAAGAATGATCTGGTATGGGTGTGCAGGCTCCAGCAACAAGTCTGCTGACCCAGAAGACTGGTGGATTTGGCTCAGAGACTTCAAAATGTCAAATATTCATTTTAAATGAACACCTGTACGATGCTGGTACACTGTTGCCATTCAGTCACTGCTCTTTGTTATCTTCTACCTTTAGGAAAGCACTATTGCACAAAATAGCCTTGCATTGGTGATGCTTTGGGAGCCGGGAAAGGAGCTGCTTGGGCCACATTTGTGGCCCACAGTGGACAGCAGAAGCTCTGCTTCTGTCTGCTCTCTTCTTATAAAGGGGTAACAGCACCCCTTTACATTTGGGGAACACCTCCCACTTCATGTGGTCCTGGTAGAGCAGTTAATCACAGTGTCCCAGGTTCCCCACTCTACTCAGAATTAGACACACGACCCAGACTGGCCAATCACAAAGCCACCTCCCTTCACACACAGGGACTGAACCAAGGTGTGAGCTCTTGACCTAAGCTGAGCCAATCAAAATCCCTCACCAGAGTTTTCCCAACTGGACCGGGAGGGGCAGTTCTCTATTAACCTCGTGCATGGAGAGTTGTGAGGGTGGAGGCCTGGGGTTGCAGGCAGCCATCTACCCAGCCACGTAGAGAAGGTTACACTGTAATGAGAGAGAATGGAGGCAAGCAGAGATGGAAGTTAGAGAAAGAGACAGACAGACAGACAGACAGCAGCTAGGTCCACTCTTCCCTCAGGCCATCCCAGCCTTCCTAGCTCTGTGAACTAGTGAATTCCCTTCTTGGTGTGTCTGTCATTTGCAGCAAAAAGAATCCTAACTAATGGGAGAGGGAAGAAAGGAAGAGAGGAGTGCGTAGAAGGAGGAATATTGGCCACTAGGGGAATTATGAATCCAGGAGAAGCAGGAACTTAGAGTAGAAGAGAGCCAGGAATACATAGGCCAACAAACCCTGAAAGTAACTGGACAGAGTACCAGACATTTCTCAATCACTGGGGACTTGAGAAAAAAGATTATTTTTCCATATTAATGGAAAAGATGATTACTAACAGGTAGATAATATATGGATATTAAGTACATACGTTTTTGAATTAAGTGCAAACATATGGTAGATATGATTTTGTTACCTTCCTGGGGACATCTGGCTACTCACCCTCAACCCTG